ATTTATATATAATGTAATCAGTAAACTAATTATATATAAATAATGAAACGTTAACGCAATTATTTACATATAATCTTTTAGACATGAATGCACTATATATAAATAATGGGTGATCTAGTCAATTATATGTTAAATAATGAATTAAATTTAAATAATTGTATTAAATAATAAATTTACACTTGGTGCCTCATACATTTGTACCCTGGCCTACCCGAATTGAAATAGTAGACTCCAAACAGACATAGCGCGGTTATGGAGATCGAACATGACCGAAGCCTGTTTAGGTATACTTTATATACCTGTACTGAGGCGAGAAATTTAATAACCCCTTGTTTCGCGAACGTTAAAAAGATCATCAGAGGGCGGAATAAATAAAATATAAAATTTTTGGTTTTGTTTATTTAGCAATTAGTTTTGCCAAAAAAAACCCATCCAGATGGAGGAAAAAATAAAATGTTATTGGTGAATTTAAACAGTGTAGTAATGGGATGGTTAAATGCTTTAAATTTATGTAAATTAGTAAGAAATATACATATCATATGTATGGCAATTTCAAGTAAGGATGTGCTAATTGGCCAAAAATAAAATTTATTTTTATTCGAAATCATCATTATTGGCAGTCAGCGGGCTTGATAATCAAGATATAAAAAAGTCTTGACCTATGATACTTCTTTACAATACAAATACAGGTATCTGAATTGTACACTGAAGTTACACCATTCCGTTCAAAATTCTATCATGATGAAAATTTCAATATACAATTTTTAAGAATAAACGATAATTGATTAAAACTATTGAGATGGCATATGAACACAGCTTTCATGGTTTTTAATACAGTAACATTTAAACATGCGAACTTCCAATATCTTATCGTTCAGTCAATTGCACTTTTGCAGTTTTAGCATTTACTCTTTTTAAACTTTAAAAACAATTGGCTGAAACCACATTCATGTTACCATGAATATTTAATTGTTTTTATTGCAATCAATGTAAATGAAGATTAAATTATAGAGTACTACAGTGTTATGTCACGATACCATGTGATACTACTCCGTTGTTATTGGAAACACAAAATGCGTTCAACCGGATCCATTGTCTCCATTGACAAACCATTAATTCTAACATAATTATTAAGATGTTATATCCTAAATTTTCTTTTTAAATTTTAATTAATGATTAAATGTGTGTTCGATAACTAATATAATGCAAGCTTTTGTGTTTTTAGTACATTTTGATGGTAAAATATTAAAATGCCTATTCCAGAAAGCCTATGAAGTCATTCAGGCGTAATGAACAGTAACCAACGTCTGGTTGGCAACAGAGGGCGCCACCTGGCGTTGTGACGACACGCCTGTGGTACTCTATACAGTAAAGAAAAGTTAAATTAATTATTGTTTATATCTATTAGCTCAACATACTATGAGTATTGTATCATGTTAAAATCTTAATTGTATTTACCTTACACAGTGGAGACCGAGGGGGCAATTGTCTCATTAGACAGGCCGGAACACCCCACGATTGTTGGACTAAAAATATTAATTTATTTTTCCAAATAATGTTATTTTGATTGCCAATCAAATCATTGGTTGTCCAATTTCAATTTGGGCCATATATGCCGGACATGAAACTTCTCCCCATGAACTCTACCAGTGATATGTATTACTGGACCCCGACCAAAGGCTCTAGTCATGGCCCCTTGGTTCAGACGCCCACAGTTGGCAAATTTCTGGTGCCACCACTGCATTTAAGTTACAATTTTGAGAAGACAAGATAATATGTCAAATCATATCAATGTTCACACTTGAATACAGAGAACATACAATTTTTTTCCAACATTGGTTTTTTTTTTGTTTTGGGTCAAACTGGCCAGATTTGACCAACACAGCTAAGTTTCTCTACAGAGAAACTCTTATTTGAGCAGCAAACTTAAAACATCCACTTAAATCACCCCTCAGATCACAAGCTGGTGATTATAGGCCACTTAGTTATAAAACCGTTTACTGGTAACCATTAACTTTTCAAGTTTAAACTTCTCACTGGTCCAGGAGAGAATGGTTTCTGATACCAAAATCGATAATTAAAAAGCCATGTCCCAATAGCAATTGGAGCAGCAAGGATTTTATGGCTGAATGTATGGAAATATACAGCAGTGCATAGTAGCATCCACATCCATAAATAACACAAGAAGACTAAAAGGAATGTAAATATATAAAGTAATTGCTTAAGCATTGGTTGTACAGTGTCCAACCATGATATATGCTGACAACTCATTTCAATTTTTCTATCATTGGAGTAAATTTGACGCATCAACTGCAGTTCTTCTAGTATCGTCAGCAGACTATGGATTAAAATAAAAGTATGTCCTGATATATCAAATCCATCCCATTGGAAACCAGCACGGATGCACGACTTCTTAGTTGGGAAACCACTTGCATTGCAGGTGCCTGTTACGTGTTCAATCGCTAGAAACAACTGGATCCATGCAAACCAAAAGAATGTTCCGACAGCTAACCTCAAACAGTCCTTCAGTACCAAGTACCACTGCTTATCACACGTAAGTAGGCCCGCTAAAACCATGTAAGGGGTAAGTAATGATAAAGTCCAGCCCCAACCCCATTTGACACCCCACTGATTAAATACGTTTTTGGAGCCTGAGAAATAAGATTTTGGCATCACATCTAGATCATGCAGTACAGAACCTATTAGTACAATAGAACAAAGCAATAAAGCTGTTTTCACCGGATGGGGTAAAAGTATATTTTCCAGGTTTCTCATCACGAAGTTCCATATCTGCAAAACTTTACTTTTTCCCGGCCGATGGCTGGCAACATCATTTCGATCCAGCTGTACAAATCTGTTTATAGAACTTCTTTTTCGTTTATTCGTTGTCTTTTTTGAAGTCCTCTGTCTTTCAGCTGACATTATGATGTAGCTTAATAATGTAGGTTAGTAATGATAATTTTTAGTAAAAAAGGAAGAAAAATTACATTTAAATGGCCTACGAAATGAGACAGAGTGAATGTGTAGTTACAAATGGTCAAAGGTTAGTGACAGTTAACTCTGACCTTGTTGTGTCACGGTTCATCGACTTTTACTGATCGACGAAGTTGTTTTGTTTACATCGTTTCACCCACCTAAAGTGTAAAGATGGTGGTCTGTATTTTTAATGTGTAACTATAATCGTAGTTTTATAGCACGACAATGGGTTCAGGAATGAGTCAGGTATGTATGTACTGTTATATAATAAGCAGGTGTATGTCTAGTAGTAAGGATGAGTGTTGTTGGCCGGATGTGTTAGGACTAGGACAGGTAGGTAGGCTTTTCTACGATGGTTAGTCGTAGGCGGTCAGCAAGTGGAACCGCACACTCCTCCCCAGTGGAAGGCTGTCAGGCGATGAAGAAGGATCATTACTCGAAACTATTGTCGTGTGACCTAGGCCGTGTCTGATGTCGTGCTAATTGTATTTGATTTTAATCATTAGTTTGGTAATATAATTACATGATATAGCAGAATTAATTTTACAAAGTGTACATAATATTTTACGAGCTATAAACTCGAATTTGCCTGTTCATAATGGGAATATTAGGCTTGGAGTGCGTCCTCCAATAATCATCACACAAATGCTGTGTAATCCAATAGCGGTTCTACCAGCTAAATATCTATATTATTTTATTTGTTATCATATTACTTATTTAAGAAATAATTTTTGTTATAGTTGTTATTGCATTTTTTTGGTAACTTTTTGGTCACCCTGCAGTACTGCAGTGTTATTGTGAATGACCTTTCCTTTGTTGAGACCCCTGCTAATTTGATAGTGTTTATGTTATTAAATTACACCCATTGAAGAAAGTACCAGTTTGATTAATCCATTGTAAACACCCAGCAGGATCAAATAGTAATACCCACTATTTGTATTCCTTTTTACTTTTTTATGTTACTGTGAATGACCTTTCCTTTTTTTGAGACCCCTGCTAACTTGATAGTGTTTATGTTATTAAATTACATCCACTGAAGAAAGTACCAGTTTGATTAATCCATCATTGTAAACACCCAGCAGGATCAAATAGTAATACCCACGTACTGTATATTAAAACTGGCTGGCAGCTATATTGTTGCGCAGTGAATTCATCAGGATATAGAGGTTTTTTTTCTATGAATATGTTCAAAAGTTATACCAGTAATTTAATTACAACCCCAAAATTATTTTATATGGGATTTATGAATTAACACTGAAATTTAAAAGTTAATGTTTCTGGATTGAACATCTTGACTGGTCGTCTGTGGTCACTTTCAAGTATTTGTGTTTATTGACAGTGGGTACTGGGAATATGTACATACCCAGTGACGTATCTAGGAGGGAGCGATACGTTGATGCGTTGTTTAACTTATTTTTTTTAATGCAATAATTTAAATGTATTATACTGTACAGTAGTAATAGAAATTGTAATAATTATATAGTGTAGAGTGTGTGTATAGGTGCCTGTAATTTGTACCATTCTCATATGAAACAAACATCATCTTTCTTAAGCAAAAAGTAAATGAGTAAACTGATAGAATTTTTGAAATGTTGATATAATAATCAGGATACTTCTCTTTGTGCAGATTCTTCCTGGTCTCTATGTAGGAAACTTGAGAGGTAAGAGGATGAAGTGTAAAGATGATAAAAGCCCTAAAGAAGGGAGCAGAAATTTGTGAAATATTGATTGAAAGTTGTTCCTTGTAGTCACTTTCTGTTGACCTTTGTCCTCATCTCACCTATCCTCTTTGTGCAGTCAAGTCATGTGTATTGGTGTGATATAAGGGAGCTTTCAATTTGTTCGATGACGCGACGCTAGAACGGACTCACTCATGCATGACCATTCTACCGGGCGTCTTGCGTTCTCTGCGTGCATAGATTTGGCCAAATTGCGTCCTAGAATCCACGCGACGAGGAGATCATAACATTCTTGCATGCGCAGATGACTTTTAGTGATGTCATTACATCTACGTCCTACTGTCACGGTGCAAACGAAAGCTCCTTATTTTTTAGTAAAAGACACGGTTGCCATCAAGACTAAAGCCGGGCACATACTGCATCGGCCGAAGGTCATACAACGGTAAGCTGTCGAATCCATCTTATCTGTCTGTGAATGCTCGATGACTTGGTGGCTGCCTGAGCGGATCATAATTAAATATGCCTGCGAATGTGCTTCATTGCGTTCTGTTCTCTATGGAATTGCGTTGCTCTGACGACAGTCGATGCAGTATGTGCGTGGCACAAGACTCTCTTGTACTGTTAAGTGCATACTACCTATTAATTGTTGGTCATTGGTGTTGGTTCATGGTGTTTGCTTATGTATTTCTTTTGTAATTATTTATTTCCTCAATGCAACATTATAAATTATAACAACTCACTTTTATAGAAACAAAAACAATGTTTAATAATCATTCCTGATGATGACATAATTAATGTCGAAATATTGAATCCCGACACGATGGCGTGCATTTCGATACCTGAAGTATGTATTATACTATCTTATGTTTAATAATAAAATTAAAAATAAATAAATTATTAATTTATAATGAGGTTACAAATAACAGTAAAATTAAGTAATTAATCATTAAATAGATTTTCAAAGCAACCACATTTTCTTGCTTTTGTAGTTTGCTTAATGTAGTTTTGCTCATGTTCTTTGCTCATGTTCTTGCCATGTTATTTGCTCATGATCTTTGCTCATGTTTTTTTGCTCATGTTCTTGGCTTATGTTATTAGCCCAAATTTTTGCTCATGATCTTGGCTCATGTGTTTTGGTCAATGGTTTTCTGATGTTCTTTGCTCATGTAGTTTTCCTAACAAAAAGAAAATACACAAAAGTAAATAGTTCCTGCAGGTGACCAAAAGTGAACAAAGCAAAGAATCGCACACTGTCGAGTGGCTTTCCCAACTAAAAAAAGTACATAAAAAAAAAAACCCACAAAGAAATACCCTAAAATTAAATGTTATTGATAACCTGTTTTTAGAGTGTTGTTGTTGATTAATGGTACAGTAACTGGTTTATGTTATTGGCTCTTGTTTGTAGACTCACAGTATAATATTTGTGCATGTTGTGGACTTGTGTTCTTTCCTCATGTTTTTTGCTCATTATTGGCTCTTTGTACTTTGTGTAATAGAATTGACCATTCACCTCATTTAAATACTATATGGGATTTTAATTTTCTGATGTTTATATAACATTTCTTTCAATAAATGTTGAATAGGCCTATCTTGCACTTTCTAAATATGTTTGCATAAAAATACAGCAACAATTTTTATGTATTCTTTTGTTTTATCGAAAAGAATGTAAAAATCTAACCTATGTGTTTATGTTTTTTTTTTTGGAAATTTTACAGTATAATCAAGGTGCCTTGTGCTCTATGGCATCTCTTATATAATCATATAAAAATACAGTTGAACTTGCCTATGTTGAATCCAAAGGGCATTGAAAAATGGTTTGACTTAGATGAAATTTGACTTTACTGATCGTTAATTAGTGGAAAACACAACAATTTGGCATGCGTAAAATAACATCGACTTAGAAACTTAGGCAAGTTTTACTGTATGTTTTTAGTTGAATGTTCGTTATCATGATAAGGTTATGATCATAACTTTTTTTTCTCATAGATGCCAAAGATGCAGAACAGCTAGAAGCTAATAAGATCACGCACATTTTGTCTATTCATGACAATGCTAAACCTTTGATATCGGTAAGCAAATGAAAGATATCAACAAAGCAGGGTATTAGGCCAAAATTTCAGTTACTCATTGAATAATTGAAGTATAGTGCTTATAATGTGCTCAGTGGATGCTTTAGTATACCCAACAAACTAAATTGGCATCCGATACTGTCTTAAACTCGGTGGGACTGTTCTTTAGGAATTAAATATTAACAAACAATACCAAGAGACATTTGCCAAGTTTAGGTCACTTTGGTGCGGGTTCCCTGTCACTCTAAATCCACCAATACTTTGAAAGATCAGAGCTGTTTAAGCCACTACTATGCTGTTACAAGTGCTGACAAGAATATACATGGGGAGGGAAGAGTAGAGATGTTCAACAATTGCTATTATTGGTGGAGGTTCGCTCTAGATTTGTATTTGCCAGAATGAATAAAATAAAATAGATTATACTATGTTCCACTTTAGTCCTGGAGTAATTACCTTTGGGCTAAAGTTATACTGTTATCAGTACATGGTCCTTCGTTGGTTTTATGTTTATTTGTAAATTATTTACTATAAAACAGTTTATTTTCACATTTTCTTTCTGCTTACAGAACATGAAATATCTGTGTGTTGCAGTGGCAGACCATCCTGATCAGAACCTGTATGAACACTTTATCATTTTACTTCTAAAATACAAATATAAGCTATCAATCACATGGAACCTCTGCAAATAAATGAGTAATTCCCTCCCCCCACCCTGAACTTCCAGGCATACTGCCCTCTGTAGACTATCAGTAACAACTGAAACTGATACATTTCTTGGCATAATTGCATATAATGTGCTGTTGAATTAGCTCATTGTATATTATTTAAAGTGTCATTTGAATTAGTATAGATTATTAATATGTTCTGTATCATATGTGGCAAAGGCAAGCCAAACCAGTCACTCGTCGCAAATATTGTTTCAGAGATATTGGCCAAAACATGCTGGAATGTCAACATTTTTGAAATCTATTTTATCACACTAAACTAAACTTTATATATCTATTTATCATGTTATGCTGTTATTTTCACCATTTTCAACATTAAAACAACAATTTTAAACAATTTGGTACAGTAATGGTTTCTGCCTGAGAAATGCCAAAAATCATAAGCTTTGAAGGCTGATTTCTTAAATACTCTATTGTTCTTTAAACAGCTGTATGTTTAAACTTCTGTAATTTCATAACAAAATGTCGGATTTAAATGATTCTTTTACCATTTTATAGCTCTGATTTTACTGTTTACCACTGTATTAACAACTGAAAATCGATTTTTGCAACGAGTGACTGGTTTGGCTTGTCTTTGTAACTTATAGACATTGTGCATTTAGATTCACACAAGTTGTATTTTTTTTAATATAATTTTTTTTTATAATACAGTATTTACATTTATTATAAGACTTCATTGTACGTCTTTCAGAATTTATATAATTTATTTTTATGCAATTTGTTTCTTTATTATGTTTTCTGTTTTTTTTTAAGCAACTGAAACAATTTTGTATCATAACCCACATTACAACATTAATTTTTTTATTTTGTGCTTTTTTGACACATCCATTGAGTTTTAAGTTATCAAAATCCTAAAACATTTGTTGTATAGTTATTTGTGTTGCAGGTTATAATAATATAGCATTTGTTTATCACATTTTCAAGTAAATTAGCTGTTTATTGATTAGTGTGCGTACAATGTATCTTTACTACTGATTGTTGTTTACTGTTCTTCTTTAGCTCTCAACACTTTGAAGAATGTATAGACTTTATTCATGAATGCAGACTAAGTGGAGGTGCCTGCTTAGTCCATTGGTATGTAATTCCACAGTGTAGTTAAGCTGTTTTTGTCGCATTCCATTTTGTGGTCAGGACAGTCCTGTCTTGTCTTTCTTCCCTTATTACTTCATTATTAACGCACAAGACAAAGGTAGAAGCTACTGCTTACCTCGTTTTTGTCGGTGGGCATCTGTGTATATCCATGGAAGAATTACTTTCCTCCATGGTATATCCATCTCTGAAATCAACGCCGTCCCAACATAGGTTGGTATAACACTATACTGATTTATTTAACATTATTTCAATACAAACATTCACTTGCATTCTTTTTTTTTTTTTTTTTGGGATAAGTGCCTTGTTTGCAACGTAGAAGCCTCAGTAGATACAAAAATGCTTAACCATTACATCACATTGCCACCTTCTACCAACCTACAGTTTTTAAAGTACAAATATTATGGTATCTCACCAATACATTGTGTTATCACATTTTAAACTGACCAATTGGAACCAAGAATATAATCGTTTATTATTTAAGTGTCTTGTTCATAGTATTGCAGGAGTGTCCAGGAGTGTCACAGTAACGGTTGCTTATATGATGACGATAACTAATTGTAGTTGGCAAGAATGTCTTCGAGCTGCACGTGTTGCTCGTGAGGTTGCAAACCCAAACTTTGGATTTCAGAAACAGTTGCAAGATTATCAGCACTCTACCTTAGCTAGTGTAAGTCATATGCTTTATTCTAGAACCAGCATATCCCTTGGCCATTATGTGGATTATAAATATTACTATACATGATCATATTATACGTGATCATTCGTTGGATGAGAGAGCACCATAGGTCAGGCAGCTGAACTGGTGGAAGCCACTTTTTGTGGTGGCCACTAAACTGTGGTGATGCTTTCAGACTTTTGGTTCCTGGTTCAAATCCATATCACTGCTCTTCTTGTGTTTAAGCCTGACTGCTGAAGTGTGAGTTACAATAGCACACAGTCTTTCCGATGAGGTGTTTACTTTAAAAAAGGGCAAGAATTGTCACATTGTTGGTGATTGTCACACTAGTTCAAAGGTTTTGCTTTGTGACAACGTATTTGTGATGTTTTGGGCTCTTTAACTAGGCATCAGTGGCTTCACTAAACCAAGCCAATGAGCACTCCGGCCATTATAGTATTGAACTACGACTTAATTCCAATGGGTCCTTCTGGTGGTGAATTGAGCAATGCACCAGGGGTTAGCCCCCCCCCCCCCCTGCTCTTTTCTAAAGTGTGTAATAATGCATTTTATAATCTGCCCTATCGTATGCAATATTTCAGCCCTCAAGCTGAAGAACAAGGAGAGCAACTAAGAATTGAACTGGAGGTCAGGATTTTTATTGTACAGGACACACCCAGTGCTCTACCACTCATTTTAGCCAACTGAGCTAAGCTGGTTTCTTTTTTTAGGCTGTTTTTTTTTTAAGATAATAATTAATCATTATTTGTACTGTACCAACATTTTGTGTTGCAAAAATGTTTGAAACATTTTGTTATCTTCTTTAATTTTAAATATTCTCCATAATATCGGACTATTTTGCATTTTATTTTACAGCAACGACAAAGAATAGGAAAAATGTTCAAAGAGTCCCCATTCAATGATGAGCAGACAATAAACAAGCTTCTAAGTAAAGAGAATAGGAAAACAGATAAGGAGGAAGAAGCCAGGACTTACCAACTCCCACCTAATGCGTATGCTTCTAAATAGGAGAGTTACAATAGGCTGTTTTGTTCCTTCAACTACGCATCTCCGTGTCAAAAAAAATGTACGCTGGCAATCAGTTTAAATACTGGTATTATTTCGTATTTATTAACTGTATACATTCACTGTCATGTATTATTTGTTTTAATATGCCTTTGTGAATAGAAAATACAGGATACGACGGTCTAAGACTTCGACTTGCAATAACAACTTTTTTCTAATTTTGGACTGTACTGGTATATGTATTTATAATGCACCTCTTCCTTAATGTTATAAAGCGCAGTTCTTTTCCCTGGTTATTGGGTCCACATGCTTTAAGTGTTTGCTGCTGGTAATCAGCACAGGAGCAGGCAACCCCACCAGGTATCCATTTATACTCCTTGGTGGAGAGAAGCAATGCAGATAAAGTGCCTTGCTCACAGACACAAGTGAAATGTACAGTGAGGGGTAGAAACACTGGCCTGAAGGTTAGGAAACCAAACTGTTCCTGCTGCGCCAAACCGCTTCCTCCATTCCCACATTCCGTACTGTGACAGCACTGTACCCAGTCCTTGCAAATTTGGAAGACTTTTGGAGACTTGATTGGTCAGTCAAATTTGTAAGCCTTACACATTCCGTTGGGGACAGGGCAGTAAAAACACTAGTGAATTTTATGGAAACCAGTTTTAACTGTTGGCTCTGTTAAAGATTTTATTTTGTTTGATTTCTGTATGTAACTTTATGAAATTTAACTGTGTTAAAAAAAGTCAGTGGACATAATGCGATGCGAACTGCCTAATAATGTGCCCTTTATGTCAATTATGCAATTAATTAATTAATTCTTTATGAAAATGTATGCATATAAGTGTACTTGTGAAGCCATTTTGTACAATGCATGTTGGGAACATTTAATGAAAGTGCAGTACATTATAATCTTTAATATACATATTTTACAAGTTTTGTTGTGCTGAAATATTTGTTTTCATTTTTGATTTGGTGCCTTCAAACAACTACTGGGATTTATTAAACAAAATTGCTTATGTCATGTAGCAAACTACTTAAGCTTTAAAATAAATTTTAAATTTGATGTATGCATAATTTTTTTTAATGCTTTTAAGGTCATGTATAGAAAGTTACTGCATATATTTGTGAAGAAAAACTATGATTCCCTATGATCAATACTATTGATCAATACTGAAACTTTCTACATCACCCTAATCAAGGCCCTGAATCCACTTCTAGGTAGGAGGTTACTATTAATTTTATTAAATAATTATATTTACTATATGCCATGAAATATGTGATACTGTTATCAGCCTTCCCCTGGTTATGCCTTGGTGAGTAATGTTTTAGTCTGTGTACATCTAGGCCTAGAGCATTTTTTTTAATGAATACAAGTGACTTATGCCCATGATTTGGATGTGAGATTCAATTTAGTTTAACATTTCTGTATTTAAAATTTACAATCAGAATGAAAATCAGCATCATGCCGATGGGGTCATGTGTCAAAGAAAACATACAGTGAGGACAGAGGTTAATAAGTGCAATTGCTTTTCTTTATGCTCTGTCCACACTGTCAAATTTTCTTTGACAAAAACTGTTGTATGCCCATATATAGTCATAATGTGCCTATATATGGTCATGTTGTGCCTATATATGGTCATGTTGTGATGTCATCATGACTATATTTAGGCATGTCACATGTTTTTGTCAAAATTTGGTAGTCTGGTCAGGGCTTCAAATAAATTGTGTTTGATTATATTTTAAAGTGATTAAATTAAATATGGTAACTTATTATTTAAACATAATGTAATTTTTAAATGTTAATAAAAATAGTTATTTTGGTAACAATTAATGTCTACTGAAGATATGTGACTATTTCTGCTTGGAATTTACTAGCATGAAATGAAATAAGAGGGGAAGTATTGTAAGGATGTATGCTAATTATCAGTTTGCAAATCTGAGATATGCTCGTTAGACCGGATATGAAATAAAGGTGACTACAGTATGGCTACAAACATACTTTTGTTTCATTGACGTGATTGTTCTTTTGCTAAATCATTTTATTGGTTATTGATGTATTGGTTTGTTAATTAATCAATTTCTTAATGTCATAATAAGTTAACATTAATCTATGCTGGACGGTATCACTTAATACAGGGGTCCCAAGTTTCCGGAAGTTGCGGGAGTACCTCCCGGAAATCAGGACTGCCTCCTACACTCAGCCGCAAGCAAGGATCTCCTGGATATCCCATTTCTCGCAAAAAATCATACATTAAGCATTGGAGCACACGTTAGCGTTACTTCTTAAATCCTCTAAAACTGAAGATTTCATCATTTACCAAACTGTCAAAATCAGAGTGTATATACCACAAAAGGTTAAACTAAGTGCCCGTAAGTACTCTCTAGTGTACTACATTTTCCATGGAGTCATGGTGAAGTTCATTCAGTTGTTGGTGGATATGTGGTAACTTGTCACTATCCAGTCCAAGTATGTCAAGTACTCTGGGAGTTACTATAGGCATACCAGATTAATTATCACCACCGGACTCATCAATCACAAACCAAACTGGAAAATCCTAAAAGTAACGCTAACGTGGGCTCAAACGCCTAAGAAGTCATGACGATAGGTATCACAATGCACAGCAACATACAATTATTAATAAGTTCATGAACACTCATTTAATCATCTCCAGGAGAGTAGTTCTTCCGACTTGAGACCCCTGCTTCATTACTAAGGCAGCAATCTGATGGTGCTTCATCTACATCTTATTTATCAGTATTGGCATCTGCCACCACTACCTGAGAAAAAAGTTTGCACCCTTCATCTCCACTAAAATCTTGCTTTTTACATAACAAATTACATTAAGTAGTAAAGCTCTCTATAAGACAAACATTATTATTATTATTTATTATTATTATTATTATTTAAAAATTGCATCATGTATTACCTCAGTCCCCACACCCAGCTAGTCCCCCTCACATTTTTCATCGATGCTCCATCCCCAATGAGTCCAAAATGTATAATGGATCTTCCACTAACTAGAAAGGGTGCAAAAATATATCAATTAATTGACTATTAGTTTATAAATGTAAATTACAGTACAGTACTACTATAATTCATGTATTTTTTAAATGGAAACCCCAACAAATATTCAATTAAAAATTATTGAATTTACACATTTAAACGGAGTAACGGATCTAATTAATTCAGTATTTGCTTGTTATATAAGTAATCTCAGTTTTTATTTAGAAATATGCAAGACAAAATATATTCCTGTACAGTAGCAACAAACTCAACAACAATGAACAGTTTTCATTGATAACTTTGCTACAGTATAAGAATGAAGTGAGCCCTCAGTCTTCCAATCCCAAACCATTGATCAGAATTTTATACTGTGATATCTGATTCGCTCGAGTTTATGACTCGCTCGACGCAAATACTATAGGTGAATACGTTTGGTTTGGGATTTTGGAAGATGAATAAAATAGGAAAGGTAACTTCTTCCTGCTTAGTATATTATGTTAACAATAAATAGGGTTTTTGTGATAAATAATGCTTAAATGCTACGTTACATAAAAGGCTTGGTAATAATAAATAATTGGTAGGCCACCATTTCTTGGCTAGGTATGCCCTGGCTAAGCTTGACCTACCTAGTGAGTGGTAGACCGTAGCTAGGAAACAGCGTCGCTTACTTGGTTACATGATGCTACTCATTGCCGGAATGTTACTCAGAGGATGCCTATGCTAGCTACTAGTACTAGGTAGACATGTGTTGCAGGCCTAGATGGGGGAAGGGGTGGTAAGCCATGTTTAACATCAACTGATCTTATATGAATTTGTTATCAATCAATTTAAAACAATATTATTGATAATAAATATGCAAATGACATAATAATTTGATATTTCTTGTGTGTGGTTTTGGCAAGTAAAACATTTCAAACTTTTGTGTAGGCCTAGGGCCTAGGTCTATTCTTTTTAATTTTTTATTTATTGTGGGCATAGGGCTGCCTATCTAGGCATATAGGCTTAGCCAAGTTGAAACTTGAGGTGCAGAACTTGGTAAATAAACATCTCTTAAAACATATCCTAGTACAAGAGTTTGATTATTTAATTAACAAATAAAAAATTATGGTAAATTTTATTGATAAATTAATTGTAATTTTCTTTCAGCAGTATAATAATGTTAACAAACCAAATTGGAAAAGAGGAATTGGGTAAGTCAGCATGCTTCTTTAATCAATTTCCTGAACTTTTCATTAGCCTTCATTTCATTGGCATCTAATCATACATACTGAATTTACTTTTTAAAACAGTATCCAGCAACTCGTTATGTTCGTATTGAAGTTCCAAATCTCATGGAAGAATGGGAGACAAAATACAGCTAGGTCTATCATGTATTTTAATTTATTTTTTCCAGGAATAAATATTTGATTGAAAAAATTTTAAAAACTATTTTAAGACTATTCTTATGTACCACAAAGTCTCCTAAGATTTTATGTTTGAGGATTTTTTTTATTTCATAATATTAACCAACAATGTTTTGTATTATTACTCCTTATTGTTATATAGTATTTTAATATCCCAGTTTCCCATTTATGTCTAATATCTTATTTATAGTACAATTGAGTGTACTGCTGGCAACATAACATAACAAATATACATTGTATGTTATTGTCTAGCTGTATATTCCCCGAACTACCAGTTTGTGGTTCTGCAATGTATAACAAAGAAGTAATAAACGCTAGAATGTTACCCCAATTTTGACGAGTAGTTAAAAATCACCTAAAATTACTTTATTTTGCGAGTTAGCACCCTCACATAATCGTCGAGCACTCCTACATTACCTTCACGCTCCCCCATCACCCCTCCCCCCTTCAATACTTTAAGATACACCACTGTTAGCAACACACTGTGGGACGAGAATATTCGTCTTTTGGCAGCGAACGTGTTAAGTTGATTCTAGTATGACATATCATATTAAAGCTTATGATGTAAGAATATGAATATGTTAAAAAAGTCAATTTTCTTGTATTGGTCACTGATGTTGGCTTTTTTTACAGAGATCGTACCATTCGATTTAAATGTTCTATGCAGAATGTTATCATGGATGTTCTTCGTGGTAAAGGCTGGATCGAGGCTAAGGAGTAAGTTCAATTTAATTTTGCCATTGTCACTATTACATTACTATTTTTCTCATCTCTTTGTGTTTTTAATTTGCATACCATACGCTTAATATATACGTACACTTCTACTGATTCTTTAGTATATCTTGAGTTCCTAGTTCATGTATCAAGCACCCTGAGCATGTTATATTAGATGGATATGTGCACTATATAAAGCTACATTAATTATTATTATTATTATTATCAGTAGTTTTACAGTACAGTAGTTTTTTTGTGACAGGATAAAAAATTGATGGCATAAAGTTTAGTAGTGTCTTTCACAATTACACAAGTATATTGAATCTATTAGGTTCTAATGTAGATACAGTACCATTATTTTTACGTTTAAAAAAAAATATATAATATATTATTGTTTATTATGTGGTTGGCACGGCAGTTTCATTTCTGTCTGTCAACCTCAAAGGTCAGGGTTCGAACCTTTGCAGTATTTTGCTTGTATTCTAGGACAAGTCGCTTTACCTACATTTGTCTCTCTCACTCGAGAGTATAAATGAGTACCTGTTCACTATTGGGGAGGAAAATGGCAGCGTGGAAAGGAACTTAGGCCTCTTACACACGATGTAGAGGCTTAGTATGATGGGCTAACAGCTCATTCCCCTACATTAAGTAATGAATAACTTTTTTATATTATTTTTGAAGGCAATAACTATCTGTTGATAATCAGTGGCTCCACATGAAACTGTTGGCACTGTGTGTGCCGGGCTATTGTGTTGATGTTAAACTCATTTTGTTTATCCTTTGTGAAGGGATGAAACAGACTTTGATTTTTTCTGGGCTGATCGCAACTGGATGAAAGAATACTTTGATCAATGCTACATGGATGAGCATGTCAGAATCAACCACTTCAGGAACCACTACGAGGTCAGTGTCCACTTAGGCAAGACTCATTTTACCTTGTTTCATAACCCCATTGTCTGCCGATAACAATCTTTATTTCTTTCTCGGGGATGGATCCAGAGATGTCCAAAAGGTGTGGGGGAGGGGTGAGAGGGGACCGAAAGTGGGGCCGATCGAGATAACATCACCCTAGGTGTTTCGTGGACATACCCCCGCAACTTTTACGTTTTCTACACACCAGAAAATAACCTGGCATTTTGGGCGATCAATTCTTTCATGTCTTTCTTTTTTTCCTTTTTTACTTTCCAAATGGGGGAGCCAGGGCCGACCCTTCCTAAATACGACCCTGTTTCTCATTTCCTGTTTATCATCTGTTTACTGAAGTGTTTATATCCCAATGTCGCATTATTCATGTCAATGCTGTTATTGTACCATCAATGGGGTCCTTCCTAAGTTTGTCCTAAATTACTTTATACCTCACACAATATTTGGAACATCACAAAATGAGTTACTGGTATTATTCATAGACTTCTGGTTAAGAGTGAGTAAAGAATTGATTTACATATATTGGACAGTGCATGCATTAAGACTGAGTATTACACTCAGTGACTCCAGAAATAGAAGTAGTAAGCTACTGCAGCATTAACAGAAGGCCAATATCAAAAAGTGCTGCAGCAAAGCAAACCACTACAAGTGAAAAGGAAGGACGCATGAAATTTAACTGCGCATTCGTACAGTCAAACATTTTTTCTTAGCACAAGTAAATAATGGAAGACAGGCATTATAGTAATTTTCAGTAACATATAGCCTTATGTTTCTTCTGACATATTGATTCTAAAAAAAAAAATATTATTCCTTCAGCTCACAAGAAAGAATTTGATGGTCAAAAATCTAAAAAGATATAGAAAACAGCTTGATAGAGAAGTGGGAAAATTGGAAGCTGCAAAATGTGACTTCTTTCCCACGACCTTTGAACTTCCAGTAAGTGTGCCAGTTATTTCAATTTGATGTTTGATTGTAGGGAGCTTTAAATTTCACAACGACGGTAGGACATAGATCGTACTGACGTTACATTAGGTCATCTGCGTAGGACACAACTTATACAGTATACATTGTGCTGAGGACGTAGGACACTCATGCATGGGTGAATCCGTTCTAGCCTTGCATCGTCTTGCAAATCAAAAGCTCCCTAATGTTACATATGCAGCAGCAATTACTGGACTCTATGAAGTGTCAACCATGGCCCATAGCCTGATTTATGGTTGGGGTTCGACAGATCATCTGGAAGCACCAACATTTTGGCTTTAAAATGGTTTGAATTTTTTTTTTTTTTTAATTAGGTACTGATTTATGTAAGTATAAATAAAGGAATACACAAGTATACACTAATTTATACTTATCGCTTTTAACACCTTTATTCAGTGTCTTGCTAACTTCTAGCATTCAAATCTGTAATTAAATTTTTTTTTGTTATCCCAATTTTTTTTTGGTAGAGACAGCATTTCTTTAATATTCAGATGGGATGACATTTCAATAGCACAAGTTAAGGTGTTTTGTACATAAATGGCAAAGTATGATATAATAGTACACATAAATGTATTCTAACTGAAAACAATTCCTTTTCGTCATAGAACCCTGATCCTCTAAATTTGTTGTAATGTACCTGGTCAAGCATTAAGTTTTGTAGAACAAGGTACTTAATTCACAAGGAAGGGAAATTATGTTTTTTTTTAATTAATATTAATTAAACAATCAATCAATTTATTTGGAAATTGCACTTTTGCATCGGTGGCACACACAAAAAGTGGTGCATCCATAAGAAAAACACAGCACGTCTTAAACTAATCTTACAGGCATTAAAGAGCTACAGTAGAAAATACATTTGAACAAAATTTTTGGTCTTAAATTAATACACAGAACATATTCAATCAGAACCTAAAAAATTAAGCAAATTTAGCACTACAAGAAATTTACTCATTTGTGTACACTAGCTGTGGTACGCATTGGGGTTGTTGGTAGAAACATAAAGGGGTTTCCGATGGTGTTGGCTAATTTTCATGAAAAACTGAGATACACAACTTTGTTGAAGAATTGTTAGGTGCTTAGCTCAGTGGTTCTTATACATGAGTACTTCTCTTAAGTACACTGAACTATTACAATCCTTTTTTTCCATTCCCGTGTGTATCTCGGTTTCCCATGTTTGAATAAGACCTTCTGCACCATTGTTGGTATTTGATTAATACCAAAATATTTGTTAACTATTTGTTCAAACTGTAATCTTGTAGTAACATCTTGCACCTTGTTTATTTCTCTCAACAATAGTTGATAGTCCTTTGTATGTTGAGGGCCATTTTTTGTATATTCTTCCATCATATCCACCAACTTCTGCTTATCTCTTTGTAATTGATCCATTTTTCACCTACAAAATGAAATTATATATTTTCATTGTGAGGTATATGTATCGATTATTTTATAATTTAATTGGTAATAATAATAATAATTTGAAGAATATTTTTAATTTACAAAAATTGAAAGTTCTGCTTGAAATTTGTATACACATGAGCTTTCCAATGTACCCAACTGAAGTTTTGGGTAAGTAATAATTTTTAGAAAAATGTTAAGATAATAAATATTTATGGTTAAATATTTATGGTTGATTATCAATTTGTAAAAGTACCTGAGGTTGAACAAGTTTTTCTTGAACAAGTTGGTAAACTTAGATCACATCCAGTGGAACCTGAAATCAAGTGATAATTACAATTTAATGCTCATGTTTGCAATATTGTAATCATTTACTATCAGAAACTTTATCATTCAAAACAACCTGGGACAAATTTTTTAACTAGACACACCTCAGCCCCATCAAGGTTGGGGCTTCTATGTGAAAAATTTAGGAAATACCAACTCTAGGTGGCCGGAAATGACACTTTTATATAATGAAATTCATGTACAGTACAGTACCTGTGTCATATGCAGTCTATTTCAGCATTTTTCAGGCATCTTCTTGACTTAATATGAAATTACAGTGCATTGAAGAGTGGGGGGAGCACCCCCCCTTTAATGATGTGTGGGGGTGTGTTCCCCACTTCCTCCCATGATATGTGCCCATGGAGCTGATAATTAGAATGTATTTTTTCTCGAGATGGTGACATGATCTACTCTTAGTGTCTGTAATTAGGACCTTGTGGGTTTTCCCCCCAAACTCTACCATGGGCTCTGCCCCTAGTGGGTAAACTTTCCCACAATCTCAGGTGGGGTACTTCGTAATGTATCCTCACTCCATGATAATACCTTAGGAAAACTTCCAATTTAAATACTAAAAAGAAAATTTGCCCATTTCAGCCCCGGCCATGGTGAAGCTGAGAAGACATCTCAAAGAACCCTACTCTCAGCCACAAGTACAATGTTTGTCTTTCGTTGGTATTGACAAAGCCTAGTTTTTGGCTACACCACATTTGATATGTCCAGTCATCCACGTAAACTGAAATAGACTATTCTTTGTATACAATAGATGTGCAAAGAAAACACAAATGTGGAATGGCAATACTGTCATTCCCAAACACAATAAAATCAGCAATTCCATGATTCTAGTTTACTGTTCACGGTGTGACTGTTTGCCCGGGCCTAACAAGCTTAACCTTGATTTAATTGCTATAGAAATAGTTGCTGAAGGTTCTTGGAACTTGTATACACTAGGCTAGCCAATGTACCCAACTGAAATAAATAATAATAGTAATGGGAATAATAATATTTATGGTAGATTATCAATTTGCATAAGTACATGATTTTTCTCAATTTTTTTTCTTGAGTGTGTCAGGATTGTTGATAGAACATCCAGTGGAACTAAAAAGCAAGTGATAATTACAATTTAATTCTTGTGTTTGCAGTATTGTAATCATTTACTATTCAGTTCACATTAAAAACATCATTTAAAACAACTTCAGTGCTTGACATTTCATTTTTGGTTATGGGCTAAAATAAAAAAATTGTGGAACGGGGTGTTAAACTATCAGTCATTTGGTAGCGCCAAGCCCCCATTTATTTTTAGTTTTATGGGTCAAATCTCAATGCGGGGATAGTTTTGGATTGGAAGGTATGCCATGTTTACTACCAATCTACATTTCAATTCTTGTCAGAGAGACAGATTTGATACCCAGGGGCTGTTCTTTAAACAAATATAAAGTAAACTAGAAATTGCAAATTGCAAGTGAAGTGCTGCGAAGTACAACTGCATATAAATTTTCTTCGAACAAAATTATTTATGCGAGTCAAGTGAAAATAATGAATAATAAAAATATAACAAACAATATGAGACACGACCCATTGTCTATATTAGAACACTTCTCATTGGGTAACAAAGTCGTAATTTTTCATTTTTGTCAAAAAGTGTCTATAGTGGTGAATTATGGTTTAGGTTTTTTAAAAGTTTCAAAAAATTTCTATGTATGTGGAAAATGTAGTTGATTACCAAAGGTTACAATTTTTATTTTGAAGACTTCATGGTCTAGGAAGTGTACATTTTTTTATGGGGCTGAGTTTCCAAGGGCGGGTTTTCTAGGGGCGAGTTGACTGACAAAGTGTGTTGCCAAAGTGCGAGCCAGCGTGTTATTTGATCAAAAGTGCGAGACATCGCAAGTGTGAGCCAGCGAGCCATGACGTCACAACAATAGATACGAGACGTTACTCGAGTTGTGCGAGGTATCGGCTGAGATTTGTGGAGTACAATTCAAAAAACAACTATAGGTCTAATAATGAATTATTGTGATGTTAAAAAG